CGATCGTCGTCCTCGTCGGAATCTGACGCGTCATCATCTCGTGCATGCACGTAGATCGAAGATGTGCGAGTGCTTCTGCACATGTGCGGTATCGCACTCTGCGACCAATGTGCGAACAGTTGGTCATCGCAGAAGTTGCACTCTCTGCCACGTGCGTGTCTGCAGATGTTTGTCTATCGCCTTGGGATCGTTTGCAGGATACACGACATGGCAGTTCGGGTACGGGCACCGCTCGACGCGGGACAAGGCCAGGTTTCGCAAGTTGTGATAGTCCCGCTGCAGCCGGCGCACCTCGGTAGGGGTCAGGACGGACAAGGAGACAACCGGCACACTGTCGTGTCTCAGGTCGAGCAGCTTGTCCACCGGCGGCGCGTTGATGGGTACCGACATGTGCATCCGCACATCGAGCGGGTGGGCGTAGCTACGCCCCCGTAGACGCTGACCCTTCTCAACGTTGGTCGCAGGTCGGAACCCCAGACTGTCCCTGGAGTCGTGGACTTGCTTTACGGGCGCACCCCCTGGGTCTGTCGGATTTTCCTTCTCGAAATCGGGAAGCCCCGCAACTGTTCCCGGCAGCTTGGTACCTGGCGGTGGTCGTAAGGGGAACTCCTCAACTCCCCATATCATGGCAAGAGATCCGGACTGCTCTTCCCACGGCTGCACTGTCTCCAACTGCGTCGTGACATTCTTCTCATTCAACTGCCAGTCGTAGTAGCGTCTAGGTGCCGGAAGTTGGTCCTGCTTGATAGTACGGTACAGCAGCGCGTCAGGCGTCTCGTAGATGTCATTGAATCCAAAAGGCTGCGTGGTCTTGAGGTCTCCGAACCCTAGTCAACGTTAGCAAGTGCATGCGTTCTCACGATCGCTTCGGCTTACGGGGCAGTCTTTTTGCATCGACCAGAGAGACGCACAGGCGAGAGTCGACGATGAGTTTGCGCATCGACTCCCACTCGGCTTCTGTGGTCTTGGGGCCGACGAGGAGCTTTGGGTTGTTCTCGTCCAAATAGTTATCGGGCGGAATCTGACGACCTTGCGAGATGGCAATCCATGACTTCTCATGCGAGTACAACTGCTCCTCATCAAGCTCTGAGGCAAGAGCTGAGAACACACGCCCGGCAAGATGCCGGAACTGATCCACGGTTGTGGTGTTGGGGTTCCAGGGCAACGGTGCGATGACGTCGTCGGCGTCGCCGATCAGATAGCGCTTGAAAACAGGACGGAGCGACAGAAATTGGGGGTAGAGGCCCAGCCCGTTTGGCACCGGATCAACTCCTTTTTTCCTGGTCAAATGTCCTACTCGCCCAACTAGGAGCTCCATAACGGGCTGGAATGCCATATCCCAGCTACCTCCATCGGTATCTGATACGGGGACCTCAAGCGTTGGCTTTGAACCGAGGAAGAACCCGGGGCCCGGCAAATACACTTCGACGGCCTGGATCCGGGAAAAGCCCGTCGATACCATGGACCTCCCCAGTAAGTCCATGATCCTCTGTCGCACCAATTGGACATTTCCAACTTCGCTGTGTAGGATATACTGTTTCTCGTAAGGTAACGTCGTCCCGGGGAAAAACAGATGCCAGCGGTCGGTGGTCCCGTCGTTGCTCCCTGGGCCCGTTCTGGCTTGAAGCTGGGTCGAAGCGATCTGGTCGTCCCCCCATGCCTTGACCATTGCATCCCAGAACAGTGGCGGAAAAGCCAAGCCGCCATATGTACCGCCCTCGTTGTCCCCAGGGGGATAGCGTAGGGTGAACCAAGCATCCGGGATGGCAGGATAGCCGGGGCGGCCGGGGATACGGCCGGCGGCGAGCACCCGACACACATTGGCTATCCACGGGACATACTGGTTCGTGTATATGACGTCGGCGGGATTCTCAGGCATCCGAAGGTAAGCAACATCGGGCCGGTTCATATGGGGTGCTTGGGGCCAAACAAGGCTGACCTCCTGGATACGGTGAGAGTCATCGGGTTCCCATTTCCAGGGGATCGGGTCGGCTGGCCCAGCGACAAAAAGAACCTTTTGGGATGCCATCTGGTCCTCTACAGCCGCTCCTATCCGGTCACAGAGCCAGTCCAAGGCCATCCGATCGTTGCCGTAGTCGCCAGGGCCAGCGGCCCAGATCGTCATACCGTTTCCCTTGAGGTCGCTGAGGAACTCGTCTCGCTCGGGCCTGCGTCGCATATTTTTTGCGCTTGTCCATGAGATACAGACTGTAATTCACGCCCGCCCGATTATCGAGGCAGAGCAGCCGGTCGACAGCGTCGACAAACGTGAAGAGTCGGTCCGTCCGGAACCAGACCATGCCTTGGTAGCCATGCATCTGAAACCAGCACTCCTCTGGACCAGAGGACGGGCCTCCGAGAGCGGTAAAGAGGGGGGAAGCGCGGGCTTGGTTCTTTGGTTTCTCGGGGCTGAGGGGTCCCTGGGCGGCCTTGCCTACGCGGACGCGGCGAGCGGCGCCCCCACGGAGCTCCAGCCCGCCAAAGTCGCTGACCGAAGTGCCGTGAGGCGTATCCTCGTTGTTCTCAATGGACGCAATGGATTTGGAGTCCTGTTTGAGTGGTCCACCGCCTCGAAGGCGGACCGGCGGCATAACCGTTGGAGTCTCTGCGAACCCCTGACCCCTCTCCTTGAGATAATAAGCCTCCATCGTCGGATCCGGCGCTGCCACACCACCAACGTCAGCATCACACTCCCTCAACAGCAGCAGCAACCACAACAAACTCACCTCTCACACCCACATCCTTCCCATAAGCCCTCTCGGTATACCCATCCAAAAACCCCAACACCCCTCCCTCTTCATCCGAACCCTCCCCTTCACTCTCACTCCCCTCCCCATCACCGCCCACACCATCCACCACCCCCATCGGCGCCACCGGCAACCCAAACCACACCAACGCCAACTTGAACCCCAAATCCGCCTTCCCCGCCCACCCCTCAAACCGCTCCGTCCTCAACAGCTCCGCATACCGCCACCGATTCTTCTCCTGGATCGCCGCCCAACGCAGCCCCAGCCCCACCACCGCCACCACCACCGCGTCTTTTTGCGTGGCGCCTTGGAGTGGGACAAGGCCGCAACAGCTCCTGCTCGTGGGGCGTGAAGTAGTCGAGAGGATGGAGTCGACTGTCTGGGAGGGGTCGTACAGGAGGCGGATGAAGGCGGTGTGGATGGCGGTGAAGTGGGGGGTGAGGGGTGATGGC